ATTTTATTATTTGTGTCATCTATACCAATTGTATCTTCCTTAAGGGAAAATTTTTGGAATACCTTATTTTATTGTGCTTCACTTTAGTGCACTTCACAGATTTTGTACTTTTTACAAATAATAGTTTTGATGCAACCCAGCGTTGAGTAAATCCATTTCCTCTATTTTTTCTAATAGCTTTAATATTTGTTAGACGTTTTAGCAATAATTTTTTCAATTATGGCTTCTTTGTATTTTAGACATGATGCTTATCCACCTTAGCCTACAGTATAGTAAGTAAGTAAAGTAAGTAAAGGCCCTCCCATTGATCATCGATTTGCTCGAGCGGGCCCAGTAACATCTCCATTGGAGACTTTGTTGTTACTGTGTCTGGCATATCGAATACTCTCGGTAGCTTGCTGGGCTCTCCGAGAGGGGCGGAGGAATCGAACTCGGGTCGGTCATGTTGGCCACTTGTAAGGCGAACGCCCTACCGCTGTGCTATCGCTCCAGTATAGTATAGACCTAATCTTTAATGCACTAGAAAGCAAACATTCGTTATCATGCACATTGTTGATCTATTAGCTTAATTACAGTGGTCTGGAACCAAACCCACTATATCTTTATTGTGCATATTGCATTATTTTCTATTCTTAGCTGGAGCAATAGCACAGCTGGTAGGGTTGCACACAGCTGACCCAGGTTCGATTCCTCTGCTCCTCTCAGAGAGCCTGGCAAGCTACCGAGAGTATCTTGCCCGCATGGCAGAGCTTGGCAAGCTCCCTGTGGTGTATTCGATATGCCAAAAACAGTAATAACCAGTCTCACAACTTGTGAGACTCGAGCAAATCGATGAATAACGGGAGAACAGTGCTACGGTGCTACAATACTAATTATTGCATTTGTTTTTTTTTAATAATTTTTAAGTGAAAATATTTCCATATTTTGTAAAAACTTTATCACAGGTTGGAGAGTTAGCTGCAGTAAGCAAGGCACTAACTTTGTATGAAGCTGACTTTGTATGCATATTTCTGGAACATCAGATGTTCCCTGAGCTTTCCTAAGAATGATCCCTGAGCACTGCTGGCTGTGTTCCAAAAAAATCAAAACAAAACAAAAAAACACAAGTAAATAAAATACCTATATCATAATATTTGTACTAGGCATTGTCAAAATTCACTCAATTTGTATATTTAGAATTCCGCTTCTAATATTATTTACAGTGTTAAATATAAAAAATAGTTTTAAATTTAAAAATTAGAGTAGCAATGTAGCACTGTAGCACTGTCCTCCCATTGTTCATCAGTTTGTTCGAGTGGGCCCCGTAACATTCTCCGTTGTGAGACTTGTTGTTATTGTGTTTGGCATATCAAATATGTCATGGGTAGCTTGCCAGACTTCGCCATGTGGGCGAGATGCTTTCAGTAGCTTGCCGGGCTCTCTGAGAGGGGCGTAGAAATTGAACCCAAGTGCAAAAATTAGAATATGGGTTTTAGAACATACTTCAAAGAAGTCTTTTTATTTACTTATCATAATTACCCCATGGGCTGGAGCAATAGCACAGTGGGTAAGGTGTTTGCCTTGCATGTGGCCAGCCTGGTCAGCCCAGGTTGGATTCCTCCCCACCCTCAGAGAGCCTGGCAAGCTGCCGAGAGTACTTGCCCGCATGGCAAAGTCTGGCAAGCTAGTTATGATGTATTCCATATGCCAAGCACAGTAACAAGTCTCACATTGTTACTGGGCCCACTTGAGCAAATCGCTGAACAATGGGAGGACAGTACAATTACCCCATGTTTTATAAAAAATATTTTATATGCATATATAAATCAGGAAGGACAAAAATGATTGTCTGTACTTTCAATGCACGTATGCTGGCATCAGATGCATCCATCCGATGGTACAAGCAAGAAATTTCAATACGGCATCATTGATCTGACAGAGAAGAGAAGGAATCAATCACATCATGCTGTTTTCGACACAGGAGAAGAACTTTTCCTCAGAACATGCGACAAAAGAGGATTCGTTGGTGTCGGTATCCTTGTCAAAACGAACTTGGCCAAAAGCATCGATTCAAAACAACCCGAATTGAATGATTACACTTGAATAGATGTTGCTCACTGCTGGAACTCTTTCTGTCTTCGTTGTCTATGCACCAACATCCAATTATTCTGAAGTAGAAATTGAGAAGTTCTACATGGAACTGGAGAATTTCTATAAAGAAGATCACACCTTCTACAAGAACATTGTTGGTGATTTTAATGCCAAGATAGGACATAGGAGATCAGCCGAAAAACTCTACATCGGGATCCGTGGCCTAGAATGAAACAAACAGGGTGAGAGACTGTCTGAGTTTTTCATGTTGACCAAGACCATTCATGGTAACTCACAATTCCAGAAGACCTAATCTAAACGTTGGACTTAGGAGTCTCCTGGTGGATGGTCAATTTCATTCTGGAACCATCCACCGGGAGCAACAAAATTGACCACATCATATTCAATCAATGGTTTTGCCTGACCAATGTCTCTGTTGTCCCAAAATTACAAACAGGATTTGACCATCATCTCCTTTGTGCAAAATTCTACTTCACAGAGTGAGGAGAAAGGACTGCAAAGTTTAAGAAGAGAACTCCCATAACGACCACCAACTGGGAGCTCTTTGACACTATTGTGGCAACATGGGAAGATGCCATCGTTGACAACATTGACGAGGAATATTATCGACTGGTTCAGCACTTCCATGATTTTGCAAAGAAATCCAAGAGAGAAAAAAAAAAAAGAAATCCAAGAGAGAAATAGCCAAAAAAAGATGCCTCTATCGAAGATCAAGAATCAAGGATGCTGTCTCATTATCGAAGGCATCGAAAATTAGATGGGCTGTTAGATGGGCTGGCCACCTAATGAGATTTGGAGATGACCGCTGGACTAGAGCCATTACCGACTGGATTCCACTGGTTGTCAAAAGATTGTGTGGCCACCCACCTACGTGATGGTCAGACTTCTTCGTCAAGACCCTGAATGATCAGTTTGAGGCTCCTCGTGTTCCTAGAATGAACGAGCAGACGCCATAGGGCTACAGTAGCATGTTGACAGGGACGAATGGAGACGTTACTGGTGCCCACTCAAGCAAATCGATGAGTAATGGGATGTCAAGTGATCAAGTGATGTTACGATTTGAATTACGCCTTTTATTCTATATATGTCATATTCAGATAAAGTAGTTTTTATCATATTCAGTTAAATATGCTGAATATCATAGCATATATGCTGAAAGTCATAACATTATCAGAGATAAACAAAGTGAAATAAAATGTCAAAGGAAAGAGTCTTCAATTGGTCAAGTAACAAAATTTTTAAGACACTTGTTATACAACTGAGAGAGTCAAAGCAAAATCAGAATATTAGTAATTTTTATAATTTGTTATTCAGTATTTCCTTGGAGACCTATATAAGAGTGAAATAAACACTAAAAAATAATTGAAAAAAATATTGCTAAAACTTCTAACAAATATTGAAGCTATTAGGAAAATAGAGGAAATGGATTTGCTCAATGCTGGGTTGCATCAAAACTACTATTTGTAAAAAGTACAAAATCTGTGAAGTGCACTAAAGTGAAGCACAATAAAATAATTGAAAATTCAATATTGAACATTTATCTCATTCATTTATTTCTCGGATTCCCTGTATCATTGAGATTATTCATAAATCAGTTTGTTTTATATTTTGGGGAGGGCCACATTGGTCAGTGCTTAGGACTTAGTTTTTGTGCTCAAAGGTCACTCTTGGTGGTACTCAGGAACCATATGTCTCACTGAGAATAAACCCCAGTCAGGTCTGCAGAATGCAAGTCAAAGAACTACTTACTCTAAAATCTCTCTGGATCTGAATAAATTTGGTTTGAATAGTACATATATACATGTACTACATATATATATATATATATATATACACGCACATACATACACATATATACACATACATATATATGAAGGCTGGAGCAAAATCACAACAGGTAGGGTGTTTGCCTTGCATGTGGCTGACCTGGGTTCAATTCCTCCATTCCTCTCAAGAGCCCAGCAAGCTACTGAGAGTATCCCGCCTGCACGGCAGAGACTGGCAAGCTACTGTGGTTTATTCAATATGCTAAAAACAGTAACAAGAAGTCTCACAATGGAGATGTTACTGGTGCCTGCTCGAGCAAATAGATGAACAATGGGGAGACAGTGCTACAGTGCTACATATATATGTATTATATATATATACACACACATTCTATATATGTACACACACATCTATATATATATGCACACACATATACAATCTTAGGGATTTCATAAAATATCTCCATGTAATTACAACAAAATTTGTAGGAAAATTTACATTACAACACACATGCATACAATAAACATGGAAGTTAGCTAAATGAGGGAAACTATAAAACCCTTGCAATAGTACTCAGATCCAGGTTTTAGATAATATGAGAGTGCCATTGATCTCAGAAAATATCCAATAGTATTTGCCAATTCCTGGAGAAGACATCAGAACCTTGATGGAGGAGTGAAAATGCCATGCTACATTTGTTTCATTCTATGCTTATATCATATTCCAGAAGTTTATTATAATACCACCTGTTAGTTTTATCTGGCAAGAGCCTATTTCCATGGGTTCTTATTACTTTTTTTAGACTTTTATCAGCAGTTTAATAAAACATTTGTTGTTTTTTAATCCATATTTTAATTTACTTGGTCAATTACCCCTCCTTCATAATCAGTCAGGGTTATTGTGACTTCAAGAACATTTAACAGGGAAAAAAAGGCAAAAACAGGGAAGAACTATAAATATATAAATATTTAATTTTTATTATGTTTTCTTAATTTGAAAGCTAAAGATAATAAAGATTTCTACCTCATTGCAATCAATTCTGTCCAGCTAGGCCCAATACTGAGTTCAATGAGAAATTTTCCATTTAATTTGCTTTTAAAAACTCGCTGTGATTATTCATATTTATTTCTCCAATGCTTTAGGTGTGACGGTGCTTGAAGGCCCTATTTATGCTGTGGGAGGCCATGATGGCTGGAGCTATTTGAATACAGTGGAGAGGTGGGACCCGCAGAGTCAGCAGTGGACATTTGTGGCCAGCATGTCTATTGCTCGGAGCACAGTTGGTGTTGCAGCATTGAACGGCAAGTAAGTAGATGTATCTCTTTATTCTGAAAATGTAAATGACTGGGGCTGGAGCAATAGTACAGTGGGTAGGGTGTTTGCCTTGCACGCAGCCGACCTGAGTTCAATTCCCAGCATCCCATATGGTTCCCCGAGCACAGTCAGGGATGATTCCTGAGTGCAAAGTGCATCACTGGATGTGAGCCAAAAAAGAGAAAAAAATAATAAGTAAATGACTGAATGTTCTTTATATAACCTTTTAGAAGCTGCTTTGATTGATTTTTTATAATATTTTGTGTTACTGTTTTTAAAAATTGGGTTTTGTGACTGAAGTGACAATACCGTGTTAAGTGATCCATATTCAATCCCTGGAAACCTACATAGTCTCAAAAGTACCCTCTGGAATGATCCCTGAGCCCCAACCTAGGGGGACAACTGACAATTTAGCACTTCTGAATATTGCCCAATACTTTCCAAAATGTATGATTCTAATTTATTTTCAAATAATATTCTAATTTAATTTTAATGTAAATTTTATTCTAATGTAAATTTAGTTTTGATATATCCTCCGGAAGTATGATTTAATGACACAATTTTAAAAATTGTGTCATTTTAAGTTCTGAGTCTACCTGCATTTCATTTTTATGTTTCCAACATGAAATCATGAGGAGTGACCTTTCATTTCAAGCCAAAGCAAAAAATTGTTTTAATATCCCCTTCAACCAGCTCTCTTTTTTTACTCCATAATAAATGTGACTTTCCATTCTTATTTCATTTTCATATCTGATTAATATGTCATATTAACCTGACTGTTGTTTCCTTTAATATTATTTTGAATATTTTGTCCATTTAGGAACAATAAAAGACATCGATCTTAAGTTACTGATGATACCATTTATTGTGAAACAGGCATATAAATAATTTATACATGGCTTCAAATTAGTGACTATGCACAAATACCTTCAAGGGTAAAATTTTTAATTTCATGAAGCACATTAGTAGGTCTTTCAATAAAATATGCTAAGTGATGGGTAAGTAATCTTATGTCAGGTGGGCAGCTTCTGGCATACTTGATTAATAGGTACAATTTAACATTCTTCTGTAGTGATTCGACATATAAGCACCCAAAAATAATATCCACATTAATAGTTTCCTTTGATTCTTCTTTATTCTCTGCCTTAGCTTAAGGTTATTTCAAACTTTATTTTATTGCTAGACTATCTTTTTCTTTTTAATTCTTAAATTTCCCTAGTTAGCTCAAAGATCAAATACTCATATTGCCTGAACACTTCTTGAATTTTAATAAATGTCTGCTGTGTTAGCCCTAGATAATCTGCAGAACTTAAAACACAATCATTTTATTTTATGATTCTCCATGGACAAAAATGATTGACTTATTTAAAAGCTTACAGTAATAACCATGTCCAGGCAATGTCAATGTCTGTGCAGCCAGAATTTTACACTGTAAGGTATCATGAGAGTAGATAGTATAGCTGCTATTCTCTCCATACCTCTCACTTACCTAGTGTGCACAGCATCTGAATCCACAGATTAGGCGGACTGAAATTTACCTTCTAGAAGACATAATTTCCCCAAACCAAGCAATTATCATAACGAGCGGGAACAATTTACATCGAGTCAATGATTGTCAAATGTGAATGAAAAGAGGAAAACTTTAGTTTTCTAAACATGATGAGAAGGAGTAACTATATCTTTCATCATGATTAAAAAGATTAAAGATTAAACAGAAAAGCAGGTCCCTGGCCACGTTGCAACTTGACTACAAGTTATAAAGGGACGGAGCTATGGTTGCATTTAGATTTCATAAAGATCGCTCTGACAAAAGAATAAAATTATATAATAAACCTATGAAACTGCTAAAGTGCCAGCACAAGAGTAAATTAGCTATTTTCCACTGGTCCGAAGAGAAGTCTTGATAAATCACACCTCAGAATTAGAATGTATAACAATGGCAGACATTCACTTTAGTTCCCTACTCAATCATAACCATTGACTGACTCACCAATCTGGAATAGAATGGTTTTATGATTTAAGGCTCTTCTTTTCCTCCAGTCTTTTACTACCTGCCTTATATACCCTCCAGGTCAGTAATATTAAACTGCTCAGTGTCCCTTTCTTTCCTTGATAATTCAGATCCTTATGGCTATTCTTATGGTAATCCCACCAACTGAGATATTCTCTTTTAATAATTGGTATCGTGTGTTGTTTTGGGGCCATCCCCAGCAGCGTTTAGGGTCTACTACTGGCTCTGTACTTGGAATCAGTCCTGATGGACTAGGAGGACAATGTCGAACGCTGGGGATCGAAGTGTTTAAGGCAAATACCCTACCCACTGTACCATCACTCTAGCCTCTGTTTTTTTGTCCTTTAAAAACATGTAAATATTTCGTATTCACTGTGAATATAGATTTTGTTCATATTTTCTCTGACCTTTGGATACAATTTCAAATTCTCAATAGGGGTGACCTAATTTAACTCCAGTTCTACATGTGCATTAACTTCGCTGCAGCACAATAAGTACCCAAAGGGTTCAGTTGATTAAACTTAATAGTAATTTCAAAAATTTCAAAATGCATTAATATTGAATTTCATTAATATAAAAACTAAATTAGACCATTTATAATAGTTTCAATCATATAAAATATTTTTACCATTTTCAAAAATCCATCTTTATCCATTTAAAACTAATCCTTTAAATTTTATGTTCTCAGAGTGTTTGATTATTAACTCCTTCTCTGAAAGTGAAAGTGTTGGCACAGAGAGTAAGACATTTGTATTGCTTGCGGTTGACCTCAATTTGAACGCTGTCACCATATATGAGTCCCCCAAGAAACATCAGGAGTGATCCCTGAGCACAAATCCAGGAAAAAGCCTTGAGTATGGTCAAAACTGGCCCATAGAGGGGTCGGAGCAATAGCACAGCTGGTAGGGCATTTGCCTTGCCTGTGGCCAACCCAGGTTTGGTTCCGAGCATCCCATATAGTCAACTGAGCACCAGTAGGGGTAATTCCTGAGTGCAGAGACAGGAGTAACCCCTGTGCATCGCCAGGTGACCCCAAAAGCAAAAAATAAATTAATTAATTTAAAATAAATAAATAAAACTACTCAAAAAAAAGAGTGACCCATAGAATAATAATAACAATAAAAGTAATAACTTTCTCTCTAATTTGTCAAAATCATGCTTCAGCAAAACTCGATCAGATACTGTTTCGTTTTTTTTTGAGATTTCCTATATTGAATTTTTTGAGATCAGACGAGAGCGATAGCACAGCGATAGCACAGCGGGTAGGGCGTTCGCCTTACAAGCGGCCAACATGGCCGACCCGAGTTTGATTCCTCCGCCCCTCTCGGAGAGCCCGGCAAGCTACCGAGAGTATTCGATATGCCAGACACAGTAACAACAAAGTCTCCAATGGAGACGTTACTGGGCCCGCTCGAGCAAAATCGACGAATTTTTTGAGAGTTTAAAATCAAAACTTTATTAATTTCTAAAAAAATTGCAAACATATGTTGCTTTGGTGATATGTAAGAGATGAGTTAAATCAACCCTCTTACAATTTACATTTTATTAAAGAGAGTGAAAAACAACACAGAATAAAAAAGCAAACTATAGGTGCAGTTTGAGTTAAAGTATGCAGTTTGAGTTTGGTGAAGAGTATGAGATAGCAAGAAACATGGAAGGATTATTACTGAAGTGACCCATTCTGTCATTTGGACACATGGTTAATGGGCCAGAATTTAAGTGCATATTTAAGATTATGAGATTTCTTTAAGAAGTATTGTCATATTTCATGAGTTACATCAAATAGGCTACACAGGCTTTCACCTCACTTAACAGCTAAGCTTTGCTGAGGTAGAAATTTTCCTCTTATCTCTCTTGGTTCTTCGCTAACATAATACTTAAGCTGACACAAGACATTAACTAGAGTAAAGAAAAACACATTTAAATTTACATAAAGAGACTTCATAGATAGGCAACCTGCAAACAGCCAGAGGAGTTTTTATATACAGGTCCCACAACTTGGCTGTAAGGAAAGATGAAATTATCTAATTTTCTATATGGACCTGGAGAGTATCCTACTGAGTCAAATTAGTCAAAGAGAGGGCAGACAGGATGATCTCAGATGTAGGTTATAAAGAAATATAGGAGAGAAAAAAAAGCCAAAAGCTACCGGCAACTGAGAGTTTGAGAACCAGATTTCAGTAAGAAGCTTGCCATGGGTTGATAATAGGGGTTGGGAGGTAAGACAGGGAGGAGGACACCATAACAATCAGTATTTCTGTTCATTCTGGAGGACGAAGTAAAGTGCTATGTATAAAACTCTATTAGAAACATTACTGTAACACATAATGTCTAAAAACTTTAAAAACAACAAAATAGCAGTCAGTGTGAGAGAAACTGAAGACACTGGTGTAAGGAAGTGCACACTGGTGAAGGGACTATGGTGTTGGAACACCGTATGCCAGAAACTCAATCTGAAGTAACTTAGTAAATTATGGTGCTTCGATAGAAGAAAAAAAAAATGAAAGAAAAAAAAAAGGAAACAAAACAAAAGTCTTTAACTACCAAAGACAAAAGAATTTTGACGAGAGTACTAATTAGTAAAGAACTAAGCAGAGATATTTCTGTTTAGTTTTCCTGGATGGCCATATTACTTGGGGGAAACCGTAACTCTGAGAAACTGTAATGTAAGCCTAGGACACCAAAACTTAGACCTGGCTTCTTATTGAGCCTGTCATGGCGCTGCCTTAGCCTCTTTGAGGCCAGCAAAGAGAGGTGTATGTGTAGGTGAGTTGTGTAATTTCAGAAAATAAACAAGTTAGCTGGAGTGGACTCACGAAGGAGGGAACAGGGTCACCAGGCTGGTTGGTGATCAGTTGTTGTTTATTCATTCTCCACGCAGGACTGTTCCAGTCTCACTAAGTTCCCATTACAGTCTCACTCTGCCCCTCATTCCTGTCTCCTCTTCCCATGCTAGTCTTTCCATACTCCTTTTTGCAGCCTACATGCTTAGCCCATCCTGTAAGCATTCTTGGTAGCAACTATACCCAGATGAGGTAGCACAATCAACATATGAAAGCCCTTCCTTCCCAAGGAAGCTCTTCTAAGATAAGACAAAGACCTCCTAGGGCTAGATCTGCTCAAGGCAGAATACCACCTAGGGGTGTGTTTCTCCTTCACTTAGTCTGACAACCATCTTAGATTTACTTACATAATCTTTCTTATCTATTTTTATGGACATAGAGATACATTAAATTTATAGAGAGACTTCCCAAAGGCCAACAAAGGGGTGGGGGGAAGTGTCCAGCCACAGCAATGTACAAATATATATATATATATATATATATATATATATATATGTGTCTGTGTTTGTATGTGTGTGTGTGTGTATATATATATATATATATATATATATATATATATATATATATATGTGCTAGCCTTGGATATATATATCCAAGGCTAGCACAGCGGGTAGGGCATTTGCCTTGCACATTGCCCACCCAGGTTCAATTCCTGTGCCCCTCACGGAGAGCCCAGCAAGCTGATAGCTGGGTTTTAGCAATATAATAGTTCATCTTCAATTGCCACCAGCAATTTCAACTTTTCTCCATCAGTGTTTTGATAATCAGCACCACTCTAGCCCCTGTCAACTTGACAAGAACGTTACAAAGTTGGTGGTTGCAGTTTAGATCTCGTGTTTTTTTAGGTTTTTATTTTTTTTGTATTAAGACTATACCACTCACCCATATCGTTGATATAATCAAAGTTCTTATCCCTGTTCACCCATTACTTGCCATTCTCTTCTTCCCCTTTTATTTCTTTCCTACTCTGTCCTATTCTTCTCTAAATACTGGGGTCAAGAGTGATATAGGTATCCCCCTTTTAATACATTTACTCATTCATTATTCTATAAACCACATGAAATGTTTACCTTTAATTTTAAACTGAACACTCAAACACTCAAATGAGAAAATGCATTTTTCACGATTTGAACTTAGCCTTGTGAAAATATATTGACTAATAAGATGAAAAAAAGTAAGCTATACAACTGAAAATATTACGCTATAAATGACTTTGGGTCTTCATTTTGCTGACTGAACAGTGGTGAAAGCCGATTCTCCACCATGGAACATAACAAGAGGCTCGACTGACAATTCTCCAGGGTGTTTGGTATAACTGCACATTCCCAAACAAGAGGAAGTAGAAACTTTTTTTTAGCAACACTCTATTTTTACATTTATTATTTATTTATTTTGGGGGTGCATAACAAGTCAGTGCTCAGGACCTACTCCTGCTTCTACCCTCAGAGACCATTCCTCATGGAACTTAGGGGAAAAATATATGGTGTTAGGGATCAAACGCAGATTAGCTGCAATAAGGCAAGCATCCTGCCTGCTGTACTAATGTTCCAACCTTTCAAATTTGTTTTGAAATCAGACAACTTTGGTAGGTAGAAATAGTGCCATCAATTAGCACACAGAGTATTCATCTTTCATTAAAATAATGATTTTTTAAAATCTCCTTGTAAATGTAATGGATGGGTGTTTGATGAAAGCCAGTTTAGAGAATTAGCAAATTTTAAATTTGCAGGTCCTCAAATGTGAGAAAAACTCACTCAGTGCAATATTTACCTAAGTTTCTTTATCACTTTCTTGAAGTTTAAAGGCATAAACAAAATAAAAATGAATATGAAGATACCTAATATGCTGAATAGCAAAATCACGTCTGATGTTTGAGTCTGTGTCTTCTCTCAACATCTGTTATCCTGTACAAGATAATTTATTGGCATGCAAGGTCAGGAAATTTTCAGATTATTTATCGTTCTTCACTATAAACTTCTAAAGTATTACTGGATTATGCTTTACTGAGGATATAGTAAGTATGAGATGTGTCTAGTTCTCAATGTCTGAACAACAGCTTTCAAACATACCTGAACCTACATCCTAACTAATGCATAATTTGTGTCTTTCAACTACTATTTCTTATATACTAGAATATAATATCCATGGAACATATGTAAATGAACTCTAGTAGCTTTTTTATAAAAAATTAACTGGAAGTAATCTGTTGGTGGCACAAGCCTTTTGAAAAGTAATAGAAAAGGGAATTTTTGTCATTCCCAGAAAATTGTTAAGTTGCTTTGTTTTCTTTAATTTTTATTAGTGAAACACCATGAGACACAGCTGCCTTAAGTTGCTTAAGGTAGAGATTTTTTTGCTCTCTCTGGTTTTGATATGCAAGAAGATATAGACAATGTGAATTTGGAGATTCTTAACAATGTTATTTTTCTGTCTATTTTATAGTCTCAGTATGAAATACCAACTGCAGAGTGTGACATATAACCCATGCCCTTCAATCTCTATCTACTATTTTTCATCTTAACAGTTTTATCTCTCCTTTCCTTCCCTTCACACCACCTTTCTCATCAATATGACATACCTGCCACTCTTTATTTATCACCTGCTCTGACCTTCAGTGGCCCTTGTCTTTATACATAATGCTGCCCCTTCATGGAACACTTCTTTGTGTTTCTTCATCCTACAAATTTCTACTCATCTTCCAAGTCTAAGTGAAATGTCACATTTTCTTTCATGCTGTGTAACTGTCAGCTGTCACTTTCTATATTGCCAATATATGCACTTCCACCACGAAACTTGGGCTCTTCGTAATTCTCAGGTATAATGTGTCATTGAAGTAAAACAAATCAAGCAAAGGGCCTAAATTAGGTTGCAGGGATAGTTAGAAAACAACTTAGAGAGCTCTCCACAAAATTTTACCGTCACTAGTAGAATTTATCTAGTTTCTTAGAGTACTCCTCACCCTCCCTCCCTCCCTCCCTCCCTCCCTTCCTTCCCTCCTTCCTTTTTTCTTCTATCTTCTTTATATAGGGAACAGAACCAGCTTTGTTCAGGGGTTCTAAACTTCTGACTCAAGGCTTACTTCTGGTGGGCTCAGGGACCATAAGGGTTACCAGAGATAAAATTCAGGCCATCTTCATGTTAGGCTATCATCTTATATATACACTGTATTATCTCTCTGGCCAAAATAATGTCCGACAAAATAATGTCTTTTCTATTCTTTAGTTATTTTTATAATTTTGAATAAAATTATAGAAAAATATATCATTTTTATATTTTTCTTAGTCACTAAGAAACATTAAACTGATAAGAACAGATACTACACTTGATCTTAGCCAAAAGGCCGAGGGCTGGAGCGATAGCACAGCGGGTAGGGCGTTCGCCTTACAAGCGGCCAACATGGCCGACCCGAGTTCGATTCTTCCGCCCCTCTCGGAGAGCCCGGCAAGCTACCGAGAGTATTCGATATGCCAAACACAGTAACAACAAAGTCTCCAATGGAGACGTTACTGGGCCCACTTGAGCAAATCGACGATCAACGGGAGGGCCTTTACCTTTACCTTTACCTTACTAAGAAACATTTGTTTGATGGGGCTGGAGTGATAATACAGCGGGGAGGGCATTTGTCTTGCACAGGGCTGAGCTGGGTTTGATTCCCAGCATCCCATATGGTACCCTGAGCACTGCCTGAGTGTAAAGCTAATAGTAACCCCTGTTCATCGCCAGTTGTGACCCAAAAAGCCAAAAATAAAAAGAAAATGTTTGATTGGAAGTTTAATTATAATAATATTGATTAATGAAATATATCAAGTACATAGAAAATATTTTCAAGAATTAAAATTTTCCATGAGTTGTAACCATGGATACATTAAATAGTCCATAACCTTTCTTTATGAAAAATAGTTTTCTTATTTGTTTTAAAATAATTTTTGTAAGGAATAATTATTTGTATTTAATTTTTTCCTAACTAATTTTGTGCTGTCCATTTACTTGGAAAGCCATGCCTATAGAACATTACAAGAGAGTTAAACAAATGAGTGGTATAATACTCATCTGTAAAATTCCATTTATTTAAACATCCAGTTGTAGGTTTGACATGTTGGTAATTCAAATGGGGAGAATAAAATTTTCTCTGATTATCATAATTATTAAGAAAATATTAGAGAAATATATATCCTATTTATCCTTTAGATTACTATTATTTAATACTAGTTAAACTAAATTATTAATATAGTTCAATTGTTTAAACAATAGATGTTCAAAAGTATCAAAGTTTTTTAAATGATAAAGGTTAGAAAATTATAGTTCTATTTAGTATATTACAATTTGATTGTTGGGAATTTCTGGCATGAGTGAACATTTTTAGAGTAATTTCAGTATAAATTTTCTTGTGCAATATGAAAGCTTGCCAAGTTTGCCTGTTAGTTTATACTAATACTGTCATAAAAGCTTATTTTAAAGAAATTGTACATTGGAGATGAAAACCAGTGAAATTTGTGTTTTCAAAGGATGTCCCCTACATTTTGCCATAATGACTGTTACAATAAATTATACATTTTCAATCGTGTTTTTAGGTTATATTCAGTCGGAGGTCGTGATGGCAGTTCCTGTCTGAGTTCAATGGAATATTATGATCCTCACACAAATAAGTGGAGCATGTGTGCCCCCATGTGTAAGAGAAGAGGAGGCGTTGGAGTGGCCACATGTGATGGTTTTCTTTATGCAGTGGGTGGTCATGATGCTCCTGCTTCAAATCACTGTTCAAGGCTTCTGGATTATGTAGAAAGGTAAGACCCCAGTTAAAGAGTTATATGTAAAATATATTGCTAATTTCACTGAGGAAATTCAGCGCCTTGTGCTAATTTCTCAATTCCTCTCTCTTCCTGTCTCACACGCACAGATTCATTCTTTAAAATTTTCCCTTCCTCTATCCTTTTCTCTTCTGTCCTTCCTTCTTTTCCTTCTTTCTCCATATGTAAAGTCACTGAAGTTTTTATAGTATAATTAATAGTTTTGGGTCACACCCAGAGATACTCAGGGGTTACTCCTGGGTCTGTACTCAGGGATGACTCCTGGTGGTGCTGGTGGTTGGGGGGTGGGCATATGGGCATATGGGATGCCGGGGATTGAACCCGGATTGGACTCCTGCAAGACAAACACCATCCCCGCTATACTATCACTCCAGCCCCGTGGGATTGCTCCTTTTAAGGAGAAAGGGGTGGGCTCACTTAAAGACCTTTCCGCCCAACTGTTTAAAGGACCAGGGGTTTGCTCAAGCTATTGCTGGGGACCATCACGGACGTTGGGATGCAAAGGTGGGATGCAGTGTGCATGGGAGCCACATGGGCATCTTAGGCCCATCTCTACTGGGGTGGGGAGACCAGGAGGGGGGACTCAGGGCCAAAGACATTCCCGTAAGCCGCATTCCTGGCCAGCCTGGGGCTTGAGTCACCCATGAGTTTGACGAGAGGAGTGGTCGGTGATTCCAGCCCCAAGCGCATTGCCCAGGGGACTCCCGCCCCCCACCTCAGGGTAGCAGCTCTGGGGTTGGACACTCCCCCCAGCCGCGCCACACACCCTTGTACCCACGGCCCAGCCCACCTGCCAGGCACGAAGTGAGTACAATTAGACCCCAGAGCCATCCACCGAGATAGTGTAGCGGGCAGGGCCTTTGCCTTGCGTGTGATGGACCCAGGTTTGATTTCTCCATCTCTCTCTGAGAGCCGGGCAAGCTAATAAGAGTATCCCATCCACTAGACAGAGCCTGGTAAGCTCTCCATGGACTATTCAATATGCCAAAAACAGTAACAAGTCTCACAGTGGAGAGTTACAGGTGCCTGCTGGAGCAAATCGATGAACAACGGGAGGACAGTGACAGACAATTAATATTTAAACTCCTTCTTAATATATTTCAAAGGATCAGATAAATACTGCTTTAAGTAACTTATCAAATACATAGTTGTTTTATTCTGTAACACATGCTTTATTTGTTCTTTGCATTGTGTTTGTTCTAACTCCCTTCAAACTCTTGTTTGTTTTTATTTGGGGGCCATACCTGGCAGTTTTCAGGGTTTACTCTTGGCTCTGTGCTCAGGGTTTACTCTTGGAATGGCTTTGGGGACCATATGGGGTCCCAAGGATCAGAGGTTGGCTGTGTGCAAGGCAAAGACACTGCCCATTGTACTATCATTCCGCCCCATCTCCTTCAATCATCTAACAAGATATTAAGAGTTTTCATGCCATACTCTTGATAATAAAATTAAAAGTATTATCTTATTTTTGATAGGTATTGTATATAATTCTTGTTGAATGGGGAAGATTCAGGTCCTTTAGAACTGTTATCAAAAATGGCAAGTATGTAGAGACTGAAGTTGAAAACTGTCTTGACTTGTACAAACAACCTACAAACTCCTGGGCACGATGGTTGCTGATTTCTCTTCAATAACTGTGACTCACTTGGGATTTAAATATTGTGTGCAGAAAAAATGATAAAAGCAATCAAATTTATAATGATAATCTCTATTGCATATAAATATCAACTGCTCCAAGAGGGAGTGATAATAGGGACTGTTGAGGTCTATTGTTTTAACTTCTGGGATATGATATGTAACTATAATGCAGTGAATAACTTTATAACCCTCGGCGATTTAATACCTCACTGATTTTGTATTTTTCATAATACATGTTCACGTTAACTCCACTGTTAATTTGTGTTCCCAAAGAGAAAAACTAGACTTTAACATTGTTGGCTTATTCTTATATATTCCACCTGTAAGTGATACAATTACCTTTTATAATATTTTGTTGAAAAACTGATCACAAGTCTAAAGGAATTTAATTAGGGTGGCAGAACAGTGGTGTGATTTGCACCTGGGAGAATGAGATGTTTGACATCTCACACTTACGATCACAACTTTCTTCCTAATGTTAAAAACTTCATCTTTTCTATTAAATCTTTGAATTGGTAGTGGGAGAAAGCTCTTGTTTCTCACTCTTATGATATATTTTTCCTTAGGATTTATGAAGCTTTTTTTTTGAGAACATCACCTTTGATTAAACAATAGATTCTTTAGCATACAGATTATTTTCAAAATCTAGCTCCTTTTTATATTTACTATAGAAATGCTTACATTATTTTTCCTATGAAAAGAAAAAAACATATGCTATGTTTACCTCTGAACTCTTTTTACCCCTTTCTTCTTTTTTTTTTTTTTTTTTTGGATGGGGTGGGATATTTGGAAGCTCTTGGAACTTACTTAGCCTCTGATCTCAGGGCTCACTCCTGGCAGAACTTGAAGGAACATATGGAATGTTGGAGCTCACACAGGTCAGCCATATGCAAGCAAGTGACCTTCCTTCTGTACTATCTCTCCAGCCCCTAAATAATTTAATATTTGCCTATCCGGTAAAATAAGGAACTATAGATATTTTAAGTGAGAACAGCAGACAGAATTCAAATATATGAATATATACATTTATATATACAAACATTCAATGCTTTATATTTAAAAATGCTGTGAATTGTAGTGTATTCATATTTTTCTGTTCAAAAGTCTTGAAGAAAATGAATATGCTGATGGTCATAATATTTTATGTAAATTATTCTAATAAAATACTATTTTATATACATTGCTTATTCTAACTTTTCTATGTAATTTATGAAGTCTTTTGTGCATAGAAGTATAAATAAGTCAGTTTCAGAATACATTTATGATGCAAAATTAGATTAAAATATGCATAGGTATTTTATGTTGTAGGTGTGCAATTGGTATGAGTAGTGTAAGCAATGCAGAGACACACAGAATCAAAGCATTATTACTCCTATCTAAGTTTATCCTACTAAATAGGATTCTGTTTTTGCATTTAGTATAATATATTTTCTGTAATGGTAGGTTCACATATAAATCATCAATGCATCAAAATAGATTACAACTCTATAGAATTGCTTTGCATATGAAATGGGAAGAATACAATTTCAGTATATAATCATAGCAAACTTCTTTTGAAATAAATCAAAAAAGTATCAATGTTGTATTTTAAGGATAAATAGTAGAACACATTTTACTAAATGACAATGATTTTTTAAAGCAAATATATATCATGGTGGTATTGATGCACAGTTAGGTGATGCAGAGCAAACATTTTTAAGAGTCGGGCTATCTTATACACAAAGGACAAAGATATCTTATAATTTCAGAGTAGATGAAAATATAAAACGAACTTCAGGAGAAAAGAAAGTACATAAAGGTTTGTGAAGAAGTGAAAATTTATTTTGTAGTACAGCTTCACTCTATCAAGGCCATCTTACAAAACTGTTCAAAAACTGTAATAAGTTCTATAGAATTTGTCCCATAGAGAATAATCCACTAGAAAAAAGTGAATTTATTAAAAATATTATTATGCATGTATTTTTATTGTGCAATATACAGTTCAAATATGTTGAAGAAAAGGTGACAGAGATACTTTTAAAAACTGCAAATTTAAGTTCAGAGACTAAATTAGAATACAGGCAGTAAATCTGAAAATATATTCGAAATATATCACTACTTCACTAACTGGTAAACTATCAGATCATATTCTATCAAATCTGAATCATACTAAAGAGACAAGTTTGAAAAGTGGTGTTATATGGACCACCTAAAGATGCATTTTTATTTAGTTTTTATTTGTTTATTTTTTTGCTTTTTCAGTCACACCTGGCGAGGCACATGGGTTATTACTGGCTCTGCACTCAGGAGTTACTCCTGGCAGTGCTCAGGGAATCATATGGGATGCTGGAAATATAACCTGGGTCGGCAGCTTGCAAGGCAAATGTTCTACTGCTGTGCTATTGCTCCAGCACCAAAAGATGTATTTTTAACATTCTTCATTGCTTCTTCAAATACCTTTTTCTTATAGTGCCCAAAGAGATCGATCGGTCCACAATACAGATTTGACTGGAAAGTACAATTGAATATTCCTTCATCTTAACAACTGATATTGAAATAAACAAAATTGTTTTTTACATCAATTTTACTACTAAATTAGGGTGCATGTTCAGCAATAAACAAAATTTGTTTGTCTACACATATACTCATTTCTTGTAAAATTACTGGTAAAAAATATGAACTCAACAGCAATATTTTTTTTAAATAAGTCAGATACTGGAAAACCAGGTTTCAAGTTTTTCATTAGGGTGAAGATACTAAGGCATAACAAAATAGATAGATACATAACTAGCAGGTTAGCTTCCTGGGTGGTAAGTAGATTTATAAATGACTAACAGAAATATGTAAATAGGTTTTCATATTTGTTGGTTATCTGCTTGTATGTCTTTACTTATTTTAATCATCATAGAGAAACAATGATCAACACTGGGTTTAGACATCTAGTAAATAGCCAGAACATTTTCGGTGGGGACAAGAATATTAATGAATTGCATTATATTGGGGGCTGGAGGGGCTGGAGCAATGGTATAGCTGTAGGGCCTGGCCGAGCTGGGTTCGATTCCTCCGCCCCTCTTGGAGAGCCCGGCAAGCTACCCAGAGTATTTCACCCACAGGGCAAAGCCTTGCAAGCTACCCCTGACGCATTCAGTACGCCAAACACAGTAACAAGTCTCACAATGGAGACATACTGGTCCCACTCGAGCAAAATCGATGAACAACGAGAGGACAGTGACAGTGACAGTGGGGGGTGGGGGCTGGACAGGTATTTCATTGGTTAGGGCATTTGCCTTGCAAAACGCCTGAGTCAGTTTCAAACCCCACCATGCCATATGGTACCCGAGTTTGGTACCCTATGGTAC